CCATTCACCATCTACCCGTGTATGCATCCATCTACCCATCTATCCACCATCCACCTACCCATCCACTGGCTACTCGTCCATCTCCTGTCCATCATCCATCCGCCATTTATCTGCCCATCCACCATCCATTTATCCCTTCAACATCCACTCAGCTGCCCCTCCATAACCATCCAGCCATCCATCCACCCATCCCTCTACCATCCACTGTCCACCCACCTTCTCCCAGTCCATCCACCGTCCATCTGCCTTCTACCTGTCTATCTGCCATCCATTTATCCATCCACACCTCCCCTCACCCACCCATCCATCCACCATGCACCCTTCCATCCACCTTCCACCCACCATCCACCAATCCATCCACACATCCAATCACCCACCCATGCAGCTACCTTCTCCCCTGTCCATCCACCATCCACCCGGCCATCCAGCTTCTACTCGTCCATCCACTATCCCCCACGATCCACCATCCACCACCCATCCATCCACCCACCCATGTATCCACCATTCACCCATCCTTCCACCTTCTAATTGTCCACCCACCATCCACACTTCCATCAACCATCCACCTAACCATCCACCTTCTACTCATCCATCCATCTACCTGTCCCCACCCACCCATCCACCATCTACCTGTCCATCTATCCATCTACCCAGCTATCCTCCATCTACATGTCCATCTACCATTCACCCATCCATCCATCTTCCACTGATCCATCCACCTTCTACCCATCTGTCTACCATCTTCCTGTCCACACATCCATCTACCTGTCCATCCACCATTCACCCATCCATCCACCGTCCATCTGTCCATCAGCCATCACTCACGTATCCACCATCTTCCTGTCCATCCACACATCCACTAACCAACCTATCCATCCACCATCCACTCGTCCATTCACCTCCATTTATCCATCCACGCATCCACGCACCCACCATCCATCCACCATCCACACACCCACCATCCATCCACCATTCACCAATCCACGCACCATCCACCCACCTTTACCTATCCATCTACCATCTACCATCACCCATCCATCTTCCGTCTACCTGTCTATCCATCCATCCCTCCACCATCTACTCCTCCACATACAATCCATTTATCCATCTACACATCCACCCACCACCCATCCATCCATCCTGAACATTTCCTCTGCATCTGAGTACAAGTTTTAGAACTGCTACACCTCCAAGCCCTGGGTTTCTGTGGTGGAACCACAGCTGGATCCTGGGGGACCTTGAGGTCCCACAGCAAGTTGGTGCCAGAACCAATTCTCGACTCCTGGCAGGCTCTGCGTGCTGTGTCCTTTCTGGGGTACCACCCCCGGCGCCCAGTGTGTGCAGGGACTGTGAGGGGAGACTCCTTGCCTCCCCTCTGGCCTGCAAGCAGCCTGGGCCTGAGGAGACCAGTGGGAAAGGGATACCACACCCCGGCGTCGCCCCTCTCCCACTTCCCTCTCCAAACAGCGAAGACAAACTGCCTGGCGGGTGACAGGACGATCAGGGGCGGGAGGTACACGGGGGAGAGAACCGGGGCCCATCAGCTGAGCTCGATAAGGGGCCTGCTGAAATGTTAGCGAAAATATTTAGACAATAAACGAAGTATGGAAAGGCACGCATATCTTTAAGAAATCAATCATCTTGTACGGTGTGTCTGGACACTCGGCGCCAAGGCGGAGATAGCGCCTGCTGGGGAGATAAGGGTTAATCAAGGATTTAATTCTGCAGGAGATAAAGCTGCAGGGAAGAGCAGGCAGCTCCTTCCTCCCTGGGCCCCTCTGCAGAGCCTCAGAGCCTCAGAGGCCGGCTTCTCTGGCGCACTCCCTGGATTATCTCTCCGCTTGGAGAGGGTTTCCAACCTCACGCCAAGTCTCCCCAGGCTGACCTGCGCCCTGGGCCCAAGGAGGACAAAACCCCCGGAGAGGAGGCTGCAGCCGCGAGGGGAGGGCCTGGGGGTCGGGGTGCGGTGGGGATCCCAGGGCTGGTGCCCCCCATCACCGTCCTGCAGGGGTCTCTGTGGTTAGGAAAATAATCATTTCCCCTCTGCTGTTTGGTCCTGGTGACTTTGGCAAGTTACCTAACCTCTCGGAGCCTCAGTTTTCTCATCTGGGAAATGGGAACAGCAGTACCCGCCTCATGGGGGGGTGGAGAAAACGAGGGGCCGAGTATAAGGATGGGCACACAGTAGTGCGTCTGGAACACGCACTTGGAACTGTCCATCTTGGACGGGGTTGACTGTCCCCAAGGAGGGAGCAGAGGAGAGAGGTGCAGGCCCTGCTCAGGACACACTGAGCTCCCCAGTCCTCAGCCATCCCGCCTTTGTCCCATCACTGCTTACGGCTATTCTCTGAGAGTCTAGACACGAGAGTCACGGAGCTCCTCTTAACTACCCCCAACGGCCTACCCTCTCTCTTAAGAGTCAACTGCTGCTTGTACACCTCCAGTGACGGGGAGCTCACTGCCTATAGGGACTGCTGTAAATACCACAGCCTTGGTCACACAGTGGAGCCAAAATGTGGCTCCTTCCAAGGAGCTGAAATCCACACTGGAGCTCCCACTGCTTCCTCCCTGCTTGGGGCCACGGGGCAAGAGGGTCATCCCTCCCGCAGGGCTGCTGGCCATGCTGCCTGCCAAGCCACGCCACGCCCTGTGGTAAGCACCACGTGTGGATCACTGCGTTTAACCCGCCCGGCTGCCCTGGGAGGCCACCACGTCACAGAGGAGCTGCTGCTCTGCCCACCCTCTCCTCTGCGGGGAGGTTGCAGGGTCTGCAGGCTCGGGCCTCAAGGACACTTCAGGGCTCCCCTGTGTCCCCCCGCTGAGGTCCCAAAGGCTGAGGAGACAGAAGCTCAGAGAGGTGGAGGCCTGCCTGGGGGCACACGGCAAAATAGCCACAGGGTAGGAGACCCCAGGACCTGGACCCTGTGCCATGGGGATGGCCTGGCCTTGAAAGTGGGGGCCCTCGGTCCTGGGCCGCCTCCCACCCCCTGGCTGAGTGGCCTGGGTGAGCACCGCCCCTCTGAACCTGGCCACTCAGCTGCGAGAGGCAGCGTGGGCAGCCCAGGGGCCTCAGCTGAGACGTCTCCAATCTCCCAAGGCCCGGGCCCCAGCTCTGAGGTTCTGAGGCAGCGTGACCCACAGCTCAGGGTTCACTGCACATGGGAGTGGGTGCGGGCTGTGAGCAGTAGTCCGAGAGTTGCAGCTGGGGATCCTGCCCACGGCTCTCTACCAGCCCTGCTGCAGGCCAAGTTCCTGGGGCCCTGGTTTCCTTGGCAGAGAGACGGGGGCTCTGCCGGGTTGGAACTGGTCAGAGCTGTTAAGGCAGCATTTGGCCTCTAGGTGCAGGGCCGGGGGTAAGCACGCCCCCC